ATTGGGGCGGTTTCCTTTCTGCTCAGGTGGAAAGAGATTGTTTTCAACTAGATGCTGTTGTACTGCATCAGCTACCACACCAGTTAGTAATTTGAAAGTTGTTGGTAAGCAGGTAATTGGCCTGTAGTTACCTGGTGTTGCCCCTTTTGCTGGATTTTTCATTATTAGGTAGGTTTTCCCAGTTGTTAGCCACTTTTCAATTTCTCCTCCTTGTAGTATATTGTTGAACTGCTTGGCAATGAGTGGGTGTATAACAGTTAGATGTTTCAACCAAAACCCATGCAGTTCATCTTCACCTGGTGCTGACCAATTTTTGATTTTCTTTGCTCTTTTTTCTACCATTTTTGTTGTTATTACTAGTTCTTTCATTTCAACTTCTGTTTTATTTGCATCCACCTCTTTTAACCAAGCCGCATCCTTGTTGTATTTCTTTGGGTTATCCCATATCTGCTTCCAGAACTGCACTGTTTCTTCCTTGTCAGGTACTGACTGATTCCTTGCAGTTTCTCCATTGATGGATTGGTAGAAACGTTTCTGATTGGATTGAAATTGGAGGTTCTGCCTATAGTTTGCAATTCGAGCTTCATATCTACTGATTTTCCTGGCTATAGCTGTTATTTGTTGCTTTATTATTTCCAGTGCTTCCTTGATCTTCCTTGTTTCTAAGTGGTATTTCTTGATTAGGTATTCTTTGGTCTTCTTGTTCTTCAGCTTCTTTTCTTTCATCTGTTCTAGCTTGCTTGCATGTGATCTTAACTTGCTGATCTTATTTTCTAGTCTAACCTTCCATTTTTGTGGTGCACTGTTTGTTTGTTTTTCTTTTTTGTTGATTTTACATCCCAGGTATTCTGTTATAACTGCAGCTGTGCTGTACATTAATTGGTTTGTTTCTTGCAGTGAATTGGTGCTTATACTTGCTATTGCAGTATTTGCATCTTTTAATGCTTGTGCTAGCTGTTTCTTTGGAACAAGCTTCAATGCAGGCAGCCTTATTCTGTTGTTTTTGTGCTGTTCTAGATGCTCAATTATTCTTTGTTTCAATTCTTTTATTTCTTTAGTTAGAGGGTTTTGTTCTTCCTGAGGAAGAGGTGCCTGGTTTCCAAATGAGAACAGTTGTATATCTCTGCTGGATTCTTTCACTGCCAACTCCCCCTGGTTTGCCTCTACATTCTGAATTACTTCTTGTAAGGCTTTGATTTCTTTGCCCTGGGTAAACCTTTGCAGTTCGTCCAATTCTGTTTCTGTAAATACTTTATTTCGTGTTATAAATCGGCGTTGATCTGCTAGTCTCTGTTCTGTTATTTCTGATTCTGGATGTTGTTCTTTCCAGAATTGGTGCATTCGTTTTAGATATCCTCGTCTTGTTGGACTTGATCTGTAGTAACAGATCATTATTTCTTTGTTTTCCATCACTGTGTATCTGCGACGGGTAAACACCTTTTCTTCCAGTAGTTCTGCAGCTGCTGGCCCTGGTTGCTCAGCCAACAGTCCTGAGTCCTGTAACCCATTTTTCACCAGATATCCAGGAACTCCAATATCTAGTGCGGACCTTGTTAACCCGGGCGACGTCCGAGCCGGTATGGCATTCTGAAATTTACGTCTCACCATATTTTTTATGGGAGAGACACTCTTTGTCTGACTCCTCTGATGAGACCTGTCCAGTATGGTTGAACCTCTGGCATAGCTCTCATCTTCCTCAGAGTACACAAGCCCCACAATCACGTCAAGGTAGTGCCTCACTGGGGGTTGTTATTATTATTATTATTATTATTACTACTACTAAAGTTGGAAGCGGCAAATTAACCTTTAAGGAGAAAAGAAACATATTGAAATTAAATTTAAAATACTACAATCTGATCAAATTTAGAAACTAAAACAAACTGCTAAGATTATATTCTAAAGGATTTTGATGAAATTATATACCGTATATAAAAAAGAAAAATAATAAGAACTTCTTGCCTGAAAAAGCTGGAAAACAAATATTTGCTGACATCTAGTGGACAACTAGAATATAGCACATATTCTAGAACTCTAATAACCTTTTAGAAAGGGTTGACAAACTGCCGGCCCACGGGCCGGATGTGTCATCCGGAAGCTGTGTCCACCCCATTGCCGGCAATGGCAAAACTCTCCTGATACGTTGCACGACATCATGTGACATCGTGAGTTTGACATGTCTGTTTTAGAAGATAGTTGCGAGGGGACAAAGAAGAGATTGTATACTGGGCTAGCCATAAGATTGGAAAGTGTTTGAAGGAAAAGAAATATTTTGATTGTGGGCTAAACGTATGCATTGTTTAAAAACTTTGATCTATGACTAAGTTTTGAGAGAGAAAGTTATAGGAAGGATTTATGGTGGCTAAATATACTGAATTGCAATTCTGACTAGTTGACATTTGACAATTGACTAGTTGACATTTGACAATTGACTGCTGAAAGGAAGAATTGTTATAAAACATTGATTTTATTGAAAACTTGACAATTGAAAATTACAGTGAATTATAAAAATTATATATAAAGACAGGAACTATATGATAATAAACTGGATCCTTATGCTACTTGGAGGACCCTGAATAGGTTCAGAGTTGGAGCCCCTAAGTGTAAAATCAATATTCTGAAGTGGAGGCTCTTAGCAGATAACAATATGCTGTGTGAATGTGAAGAGTCACAGACCCTGACCCATCTGCTGGTATGTTGGGTACTACCAAAAACAGGACCAATAATGTTTATTTTTGGCCCATGACAAAACTAAGAAGCTGGGTTCATTATGGCAGTTTATAGTTTGATCTAGACAGGAGGAGGAGGAGGGAGGAGGAGGAGGAGGATGATAAACTGAATTGTGCCTAGTGGTGCTCCTGGTTTATTCTGCCTACCCAGTTTTCCATTTTTTGTCACCATGCTACCTCTTTGAAAGATTTACTGTTCACCTCTTTGGAAGATTCAGGTTCCTTTTGCAAATGTTTTCTTTTAAACCATTGTTGGTCTTAATTTAAATTTGCCAATATAAGTCCTTCTTGAGTACTGATCAGGGTCTTTTTAAAGGGTAGGCAAGGGAAAATAGCCCAGACCCCATAGCTAGAAGAGGCCCTTCCAAAGGATAATTTGTCTAGTGATTAAGATCTAGTGGGCACAGATATGTGGGGTGTGTGTGTGTGTGTGTGTGTGTGTGTGTGTGTGTGATTGATGAATCATGGGTTATAACACTGTTACATAAGTCTATGACTTACATACTTGTGTTTAATTTTGGATGACAAGTACAAAAAACTAGAGGATGCAGTGTGTTTGTATCAAAGGCTATCTAAGGTCTAATCCTTAAGAAAAATGAAATGCTATAAAAACAGAAGTTACAAAATATTACACAAAGACAAGTGTTTTACTGTCCTATTGTATATTTCTATTGTTCTACCATATTTTATAGTTTGTGGTTGCTTTACAATATTATTCTCATGTTCCTTCCACCTTTCTTTTCAGTAATTAATATTATGATATAGAATACATAGAAGGTTATAATTATAACTATATCATAGAGGCATAATATAGTTTAAATGATTTAACTATAATTATTTCCAGAAATGCAGATAAAGAATCTTCTGAGATTGGCACTTTACAAATACAAATTAAAAGATAATCTGAACAACTCTGTGTTGCTTTTAGTTGTGGCAAAAACTAATGCAGAAGAGTAATCATATGTAGAAAATGGCATGTAGCGTGGAAAATGGTGACCAGTAAACACATTCAATTGTCATCTGATCAGGTTGTTGCAATCGGCAGTATTGAGGTCATGATCCAAGCCACTTTGTTTTGGTAAGGTACCATATATAAGAGGCCCTCTGACCCTCCTTTTGATGTTGCCATTCGGTCTTAAAAAAAGAATTAATATATATTTATATTTAAGAACACACAAAAGGAGTTTCAATCAATCAATTTTATTTTGATAAACCGCTAGCAAGCTCCATGCAAATAATTAATGATACAGGAAAGACGTGTGACTCCGACTAGCATCAGTTAGATGATAATTTCATATCCAAGAAAAGGAGAATTACACAATTATTTGTTCTCTCTGGCTATTGATGACCAGATATAACATACTCCAAATATCCCTGTATACTTGTACATGATAAACTATTTATGTGTCCTTGGATCTACATGAACAGGGATGGTCAGTTAAATGGGGTGTTAGAATACCTACATTGCACCAGTGCAGAGGAAAGAATATTCTGCCTGGCCTTCAAAAATGTTTTTCTCAGCTTGGAAAATGAAGAATGATTAAATATTTTTCAGATCCCATGCAGCTTTTATAGCCAAATTCAATCTGATAGTCCACCTTTTAAATTTTAAGAGAATTTTAGTTTTGCCTGATTATATCCCAAACACATTAAACATGCTACTGATAGCACATATGATTCTGTTTTTTTAATTTACTGCAGCTTTCTACTGTGACAGATAACTGTTAAGAAAAATTAAAGGTAATAAATCTGTGGAGACAAAAGCAGTGCAATTTTGATAACAGAATAAATTAACTCTATACATTAGCATATACATTACCAGCAATTTAAGCTCGATGTATGTCAGGTTGCATATATAAAAAGAGTTGAATGCATGCACATAGTCTGGAGGTTATGAGGTTGATTGTAATAAAGGTATTACCTTTAATTTGGATTTTTAAAATGCTATTGTTCTGTAGACATTTGCATTATCTTATAGGCACCTCTTTTCTCCTATGTGTATAAAAGCTGACCCCTCAGCATATGGATATTAGATACCACTTTGTGCTGCTGGCAGCTGACCAAACAAAAAAGCCCTTTGCAGTCATTTGGTATTTTAATTTTTATGGTTCTATATTGATTTTTTAAAAAAATAATACTTATACTTGAATAAATAATCTGTATATCCGCATACCTGAAGTCATAGAGAAAAGGTAATCTTTGACTGAAGTCACTCTTGAAAGGATATGATGTTTCAGAAAGATGTTTGGAATTTGTCTGGTTTTTTTTTCTTAGCTGAAAAAACACCGATTATCAGTTGGTCACACAAACAGCTTTGCAAAATCAGTAGTGAATATGGCAGATGTAGTAAGTATAATTTTCAAACTCTTGTCTGTCTGTCTGTCTGTCTGTCTGTCTGTCTGTCTGTCTGTCTGTCTGTCTGTCTGTCTGTCTGTCTGTCTGTCTGTCTATCTATCTATCTATCTATCTATCTATCTATCTATCTATCTATCTATCTATCTATCTATCTCTGTGTGTGTCTTTATCTATCTACCTACCTGTGTTTCTGTCTGACTGTCTATCATCTATTTAATTTAGAAACCACATCTCATTACTCATTCACTCTTATGTCATAGAGGCATTGTGTGTGTGTTTCTCTCTATGTGTGTCTGTGTATATATACAGTATAGCAATGTTAATACAGGAATGTCGATTTACAGGAGACAAAAGAAAGTGTTAATTCATTATTCAGCATCTACTTAATTTGATTCATAGATATTTATGAATGAACAACAGAAAAAGAACAGCAAGTAGAAACATTACTGTATTTTTGGCTATATATGTGTTTCACCTGGCATTCTATCAAAGCTCCAGTCAGTTCTGAAGCACTTCACCTTTCAAAAGAATGACTCTAAAACAGCTTAGCTTTTTCACAATAAATTTAGTCTGTTAAACCATTGTTGTCTAAACTTTTGGGGTCCCTGGGTCAAATTGTTTGGGGCTGCATACAAACTATATAATTAGTTAATAAAGATAAATCACATAATAATAAACATTTACAATCTTGTGGGGCTGCAATTGCTAGCTGTCCAGGGTCACATGTGGCCTACAGGCCATGGGTTAGACATGCCTGTGTTAGAAAATATATGATTGTGATTAATGTGAGTATTCTCTATATTGGATTTTTCTTTAGTCACTTTTTTGTATGTTGCATGTTTTTAACAAAACAATATTGACACTATTACTTTGTAATCATTCATTTTCCTAATGTGCTAGATTTATAAAGAACAACTGAACACCAGAATAGTCTTGGTTGCCATGGAAACCTGGGGTACTGATAACAAGTTCACCATATCTGAAAATCCATTGGTAACTCTACGTGAATTTATGAAATATAGGAGAGATTTTATCAAAGAGAAAAGTGATGCAGTTCATCTTTTTTCGTACGTAATTTTGTATTTGATTATTATTAGGCATGAAGGAATCTGTTGAAAATGTAATTTGAGATATAGAAATGATTGTATGTTTTAGCATTATCTAATTCCTTTGTCATAGCCATAAGGACATCAAATGCTTTTATTTAAACATGCTTTACTTTTATATTCAAATGAACTATGAGTGTGGCTTAAGAAAAAAACATGAAATTAATTTATTTCTCCATGGCACTGTTAAGATGAACTACACCTTGTTTAGATATAATGAGTATCCATACCTACTTGAAAATGAATTAAAAAATATATTGCTTTTTTCCCTCGTTGTGATACTGAAATGGCCAAAAGGGACATGGTGATCTATGGTTTCCATATTGCTAAACTGAAAACCCCCACTTGAATCCACACTTGACCTTTCAGTGAGATGTGGCACACAACATTTCAAAAAGAGGATAGCACAGGGACAAAAATGGGTAATCAGAAAGAAAGCTAAAGATGATACAATTTCAATTACAGTTTAATTAATGTTAAATTAAATGAAATTTAGTTATGTGTAATATTATTTCATGTACAGTACTTAATTTCTACCTTTTGATTCTGATAGCAATATTTGTAAGAGCTATAAAATTGTATTTCATTTTACTGATATTTTTGGTATTGATTGATAATTTGCACACATGTAGTGACAAAGTTATTTTAAAGAGATAAAGAGAGGGGGAATTGAAACATTTTTGTTCTCTTCCTCACAAATTCCCAACATTTGAATTAAACTAAGCATCACCAACATTGTGTTGGTTGGAAAACCAAAGGCAAGGCGAATGGGGCTGAATTATTTGCAAAGGACTTTTTTTAGAATTTTCTATTTTTCCTATTTTTTCTGTGGTAGGTTTTTGCCCCAAAATATATTTTAAGGTTTGGGCTATAATTTGGTATTGTCATGTCTGAACGTGATAGGAAACTATGTTGACCATGTTGACATTTCACTGAAAGAGTGTGTTTGGAGGATCATGAAAAATTGAATTTGGGGACCCATAGTTGCCTCTCCCTACAGTAGTTTAAACAGAATATTGTCTCCAGTGGTATATTTGTGTCTGTCCTTAACTCCTGGTGACTACATGGATATATCCTGTTTTCTTGACAACGTTATGGAACTGGTTTGCCATGTGTTTTTCAATTTTTCTGTCTATTCTAGAGCTCTGACTCTGCAAACTGCTTAGAGAAGGCTGTAAAGCACTGTGAAGTGGTATATGAGTCTTATTGCTATTATTCTGGTAATTCTGAAACTGTAGTCCCAGAACATTGCAGCCTAGGTGGATCCTCAAAAATTTTGGCCTGGGATAACATTTTTAAGACTACACAATTCTTACTTTTTACTTTCCAAATGATAACTGAGTTTTTCAGTTATTAGTTTTTCAATTAAGAGAAGATGTCCTGCCTTCAAGGTGGCTTTGGATTTTTTTTTCTATTTTCAAATATCTGATTCATACAAGTTAAATTTGTGCAGATCATTTTAATGGAAATGTAGTATTCTATACAGCAAGCAGTATTTTGGCACAATCTGTACAAAACATATTTCTTGCACACACATAAACACACACACATCTGAGTTGCTCAATGTTTAGGATTTCTTTGGGTGGAGGAGTATTAAATTGCGGAATCTTGCTATCCACACTGAAACATCTCTTTTTTTTTGTTATAACTCTATCATAAATACCCTTATCTTTTTTTGGTTGAAAATATATTGTTCTTCCCCAAATGCTATTGATTTTATTAACAGTATTGCTGTTTCTGTTTTGTTTTAAAAGGGGGAGCCAATTTCTCAGTAGCCGTAGCGGGGCAGCCTTTATTGGTGGCATTTGTTCACTGCTGAAAGGTGGTGGTGTAAATGAAGTATGTCTGCATTATTCCTCAAACACAAAATGAGAGTCCCATAACTGTCAAATTATTTCTACTTTTATTCATACAATGCTTTGCAGTCCCATGTTACGAGATTTCCCTTAAGATCCTGCTTTCTGTCGTTTCCCTCCCAAAAAGCAACTATTGGCCAAGTCTTTCCTTTAAATGTTTGGGGTTCCATAAATAGTGGGATCTAAAAAATTTCATAGAATATGCATTTTAGACTACAGCATACTTTTTAAATTTTATTTTTGAGGGAAGGGAATGCTATTGGCAATTTTCCTGCATCAGTCCATTTGCAGAAATATGTATTGGCTGAGGATGGAAATATTTTGCCTCCTAGCATGAGCCTGGTTAGAATTCTATGTTATTTTCTTTTTTTTTTACTTTGGTTCAATTTATTTTATTTTATTGGGGAGAGACAACTTTACCCCTGCTGTTTCCATTGGTTTTTGCTAAAACTTCTTATTCTACCCCAAATAGTAGGTATATGGAGGTTTAATTAGCCTTTTAGCTTGTCGCAGCCAATATGCCACAGGACAACTCACCATAGGGCAATTCAGTAAATACAGAAGTTAAATTAATTTTAACGGAACGGTGCTTAATAATAATAAAATAAAGAAAGTCAGTTCAGAATTCAAGAGTTACAATAATTCTGATGAAATTGTAATTGAATGAAATAATTAATACATCGTTGAATTGTCCCATGGCAAATTGCCCCTTGGTGAGTTGATCGCAATGAGTTGCTGTGTGGCAAGTTGGCTGTGGTGAGTTAGTCACAGTGAGTTGGCTGTGGCAAATTGTCCCTTCTAGCTGGCTTTTTCATATATTTTTTCCTTTTATTTTTCTATTGTAAGCTACTCAGAGTTCCTGAGAATTGAGAACCCTCAAAATCAAATAAATATAATAAAGAATCAGAACAAATAGTGAGAAAAAGTTGTGTTAGGGGACTTACCTAGCAGTAAAATTAACTCAACCACAGAGTTAAAACTTAATTGCCTAACCCAAAGATTATTACAGGCATTCAAGGCATATTTATTTTTTAAAAAACTTATACAAGATAATATGATTGGCTCTGAGCCAAACTTATATTTAGCTTTAATATTTCAACTGTCTTTGTTTGTATTGTTTTAAACAGTGCTTTGCAAATTTCTGCTAGTTTATTACTCATCTACACTTCAAAGCATACTTTGGGGAATAAATGCTCCAGGATGGTTCAATACATTTTTTGCTAATTTAAAATTTCTAAAATAGAAATGCTTCAAAGTCATTGTCTTGTTTTTCAGTTTGGAAAGCCAGATTTAATGGCTGTTACATTGGCACAGTCCTTGGGACATAATCTTGGGATCTTTTCAGACAAAAGAAGGTTGCAGAGTGGTAAGAAATGTTGACGTTTCAATATAGATTCTTTTTTTTGGCAAAGATAGTCTCATACTTTTTAACTCTACCAGAGCCATTCTCAGTTTTTGTAATTAAATATATCTTTTTTTTTTTAAAAAAAGATTACTTGCAATGTTTATAATAATAATAATAAAGTTGGAAGGAACCTTGGGGGTTATCTAGTCCCTGCTCAGGCAGGAAACCCTATATCATTTCAGTCTGTAGCAATCCAGTTGAATTAACTGAAAAGGAACCTTAAAAAATAAGCACAGAATGAGAGATGAAATTCAGTTTTATTTGTATTACAGTCTGAGATTTTTAGCACCTGTTAATTCCAATTTGCCTTAAATTGAAAATTTAAATACTTCATGCATTTAAACATTAAATAAGAATATACAGTAGCATTGTCTATATAAGAACGTTAAGAAAAAGTTCCTGGGAAGTTTTGAGATTATCTATGACTTAAGTCATAGCAATATTGACCTCATGTAAATTATTTATACTTGTTTTGTAAAAACAAAAAGAGTTTGAGAATCATTCCTACTCTGCCTTGAAAAATTTGAAAGGACTCCTTCAGATTCCTTCAACTTCTTAAAAGGCTGTATGGATAAAGGGATGTTGACACGCTAATCAATTTATGAGATTGTAACAAAAATAACAATAATATATTTTGGGGAAAACACTTTTGTATACTGCTTGTATAAGACATGAGATGTAACTACTGTGATATACTTATATCACACTATGATATACCGAATACATGTATTTATGTATTTATTGTGAAAATAAATACATGTATTTATAAATACATAAAATAGGTATTCATATTTTTGGAACAAAGATTTAAAATAAACAATGAATAATTGTATATGTTGTATTGCAGGTAGTCCTTGACTTGACCATAAATGACTTCAAAATTTACATTGCTAATCAAGACATTTGTTAAGTGAATTTTGTCCCATTTTGTAATTTTTCCTGCCACAGTTGTTGAGTGAATCCCTGCAGCTGTTAAGTTAGTAGCATAGTTGTTAAGTGAATCCAGCTTCCCCATTGACTTTGCTTGTCAGACGGTCACAAAAGCTGATCACATGACTAAGGGACACTGCAACCGTCATAAATATAAGTCAGTTGCCAAGCAGCTGAATTTTGGTCATGTGACCATGGGGATGCTATAACAGTCATACATCTGAAAAACACTCTTAAATCGCTTTTTTCAGTGCCTTGTAATTTCAAACAATCAGTAAATGAATGTTGTAAGTTGAGGACTACCTATATAACAAACTGCAAAAATGCAGAATACAAAACAAAACAAGAAGATATCTATTCAGTCTATACAAAAATATAGACACATCCAACAAGGGCTTACAACCAGTCCTTTGTTCCTTACTTACAGAATGCCAAGAGGATGGGAGCCCCAAGGATTTAGGGGATCTCATTCCCAGAGGGCAGGTGCCATGACAAAGAAGGCAAGCTTTCTAGTTCCCAATAGATGGCATTCCATGATGAAATAGTGACTTGCACCAAATTTAAATACTAGCAAATTTGTGATAACATAATTGCATGGCTACAATGCTTCATTTCCTATTAAAATATAGACTCATACAATTACCTGTTGCAAGCTTGTATGACAATATTTATTAATTATTCAATTACATTTCTTTATTTAACATATCTGATATGTGCTTGCTCGCTTTCCTATATATTGTAATGTGATTTGCCTATTTTATTTATTTTAGGTGAATGCAAATGTGAGGATACATGGTCCGGATGTATAATGGGAGATACTGGGTAAGAGGTTTTCTTTCAGAGATTTCTATTCAGAAGAAATGTAAATTAGCACATAGTTATTGGACAGAAACTTGTGGCTGCTTAAGGTATTCAGAGAAGAAACAAGTACAAAGCTGTTAACAGAAAAATGATATGCATTTTACTAAGTGACATGGATGTATGAATTAGTCAATTAATGCATGGTTAATTAGCTTTGAGAGCCAGTTTGGTGTAGTGGTTAAACCATCAGGCTAGAAACTGGGAGACAATGGATTCCAGTTCTGATTTAGACTAAGCCCATTGGGTGATTTTGACCCAGTCATTTTCTTTCAGAGAAGAAGAAAAACAGTGTCCATAAAAATGTGAAAACTGTGTGGACTCTCCAGAAGTCAAGAGTTATTTGAAAACACAAAAATAAATATTTTACAGATCAGTTTTAATATCAGAAGTTGTAGAAATGATTATGAATCCCAGTGATTGATTCTTAGTTACACTAAGAAAAAAAAGATACAGGATAAAAAAATGACTCAAACTTATACACTTATAAATGGACAATCTATGTTACTCCAGATATAACTCCTGGCATCTTCACTCCTGAGAATTTGCGACATGTACAGTAATTCCTCATCATCTGGAGAGAGATATGTTGACTACCCTTCCCTAGAGATTTACACTTTGGGTCCTGATAGACAAATTGAAAAGAATTTAGACAAATTTATGGTGCATAGGCTGCTTAAAAGTTATTAACTGATTGAAACCTCCAGATTCAGGGCTACACCAGAAGCAGCATAGATCTGAATCTGGAAGACATGTGAAGGTCTCTAGATTCAGAATCTCTCTGATTGGCAAATAGTATCATAGATTCTCAGAAAATAATATACTAGCCTGGCAAATTCCCTCAGTGCTGGTCTCAGTATATGAAAATATATCTTTTCCACAAATCTTTGACATATAAAGGACATGCCACTATTGTCAGACACTGAGGATTCTAGCCTAGAAACAAATATGCCTAAAATGCTCTCAGTTGTTAATATTAATAGTTCTCTCAGAGCAAAATACAGTGAAAGTTTAAACTGCCATTCTATATTATGAAAATAACATTTGCTCAATGATGTTTGACTGGACACTTGTATTCATATATCTTAATGGCAAGTAAAAGCCTACATTGTATTTGCTGTATAACTTTGAATATTTTTGTACAAAGCTTTGAGAAATGTGTATTAATAAAGCCCAAGGTGAAGATTGCAACTACATTCTGCATCAATTTAAACATGTTTTTAAGTTTGTCATATAATTTGCAGATATGAAATTAGAGAAAAGAAGACTGGTGTTCTTAAAATTATCTAGACTAGTGTTCCAGAAAATTCAGAATTATGTATAATTCTTTTTTTTAATTTGGTCATGAAATGACTTACTGGCCCAGCTGCAGAATGAAATTCTTTTTTAATTCTGTAGGAATGAACTGACTTTTTTCTTTTTTTGATCACAGTTATTATCTTCCAACCAAGTTCTCCAAATGTGATATTGAGGAATACCATGATTTTTTAAATAATGGTGGTGGAGCCTGCCTTTTCAACAAGCCTTCCAAGGTAAAAACAAAAATCATTTTGTTTGGAAGTTTTTCTCTTTCAGTTCTTAATTTAACAGTCTCATGATTGTGTTGAAATGCCTGATTGACATGCTTGATAGTAAACATATGGAAGTTGTTATAATAATGCTTATTATGGTTGATTTCACAGTCAGCCAGATTATTATTATTATTATTACTGATTTTTCAAATTAGAAATTAAGATGCTCAAGTTCTTTTGATCAAGAATGACACTTTATTTCTGAATAGTGTAGCTATTCAAAAATATTAATTAGTCACAGAAAAAAACCCTATTTGCAATCCGTTCTCCTATTAAGAATCCAATTTGTGAGGACTAATATTAAAAAGATCAGAAGAAAATATCCTAAAACTAGACTAACAAAGTAAAAAAATTTCAGCTCATAAATAGGAGCTTTTATACCACATGTATGTATAAAAAAATAAAGCTTGAATTCACTATAAATATGGCTTGGATGTTATACTTGGCAGTCACTGATATTTTTTGAATATTATAACTTGGTTTCTTAAACTCATTACCTACTAAGCCTGATTAAAAAATATTTTTGTGTTATAGCATTATAGCAGGGACAACAGCTTTATTGTGGTCCTGGAACATTTTTCCTCAATATGAAAATCAGGATTTGTACATATGAGGAGGTGTATAGCACCCATTTCTATAATTAGATTTACATCTTTTCTGTGCATTGAAACAATGATCCTCTACCATCTGTCATCATGCATGGCAACATGCTAATATGCTACATTTTTAATGCTTTCTTATTTTTGTATTGTAGCTCCTGGATCCCCCAGAATGTGGTAATGGTTTTGTTGAAACTGGGGAAGAATGCGATTGTGGAGCTGCATTGGTAAATTCAACATTACGTAGCTAATTAGGGGCAATCCATTTTAGTTTAGAGGCTCTTTCTAATGATTTTAAATAAGTTCTTTAATTAGTTCTTTGCACTGTAATGGTAGAGAGGAAAATTTCAAGAGTTACAATTTGCAAACAATTATTCTTCAAAAATCACAATGAGAATTTTCTTCACAGCATTGTGACAGTGAATGAAACATAGACTCATCATTATGATCTGAAGCAAAGCAGCAGACCATGAAATATTATCACAAAGCTTCACCTGTGGAAACAAAATTCAAAACACAGGATTCATCAGGAAAACTGATGGTTGACATTTTTTGAGGTGCAAGTGGTATTATTCAGATGGATTTCTTTGAGACTGGTACTATTATCAACTAAGGGTATTACATTTCAACACTCAAAACTTTGAGACAATTTTTAAGTGCAAGAAGAAAGAAGTGCAAGAAGAAAATTTTGCTGCAATATGACAGTACAAGATCTCACACCTCATGAGCTTTCCAAGAAGCAATTGCAAAGCTGGAGCTTAGTGTCTTATTCTATGTATTATACAGTTTTGGTGCCATGCATTTCACAAAAGTTTCCCTTCATGGGCATCTGTTTAACTGAAACAGATGAAAAATTAGTAAAATTAGAAAGGATGGTCAAGTCCTGGCTAAAGAGATAGTCTGGAGATATTTTATGATAGCTTTTAGAAACTTGTCCATCATTTGCAGAAGTGTGTAAGAAACGTAACAATGTGAAATGTAACAAATATGATTATGTGGAAAAGTAAACACATGTAATTAAAAACTCATTGAAAGTATTATTTTCCTATTTTTTTTAAAATAGTCCTAGTTAAAGTTATGGAAGCAAAGATTACTTTTCATTCAATCCTAGCTTACAAATGAAAATTAAATTAATGCCATGTTGAACTCCAATGTGGGATAGACCACATCACCGCCAGAAGGATATGTAGCTGGTTGACAAACAGCACTCAACATGTAGTCCTTAATGGCACTATATCTACATGGAGGGAAGTAAGCAGTGGGGTGCCCCAAAGTTCTTAGTCCCAGTACTCATCAACAGCTCATAAACAATTTAGATGAAAGGATAGAAGAGGAACTCATTAAATTTACAGGTGATACCATGCTGATAGGGATATCCAACACTCCAGAAGATAGGGTCAAGGTCCAGAAGGATCTTGACAGACCTGAACATTGAACCCTATCTAACAAAATTAAATTCAGTTGTGAGAAAAGTAAGATTTTACATTTAGGGAACCCCCCCCCCCAAATGACAGGTTTAGAATAGGTGGAACCTAACTCAATAGTAGTAACTGTCAAAAGTTACTAGGAGTCCTAGTGGATAACCACTTAATTATGAGCCAGCAGTGTGCTGCAGCCACAGAAAAAAGAAAAGAAAAGCCAATGCATTCCTGGCCTGCATTAACCGAGGGATAGAATCACGATCATGTGAACTGTTAATACCACTTTATAATGCCTTGGTATGACTACAGTTGGAATATTGCATCCAGTTTTGATCACCACAATATAAAAAAGATGTTGAAATTCTAGAAAGAGTGCAGAGAAGAGCAACAAAAGTGAGGAGCAGGAGACTAAAATGTATGAAGAATGGTTGCAAGAATTTGGCTATGTCTAGTTTAAGGAAAAGGACAGAGGTGACATGTTAGTAGTGCTCCAATATTTGAAGGGTTGCCACAAAGAAGAGGGAGTCAAGCTATTCTCCAAAGTGCCTGAAGGCAGGACAAGAAGTAATGGATGAAAACTAATCAAGAAGAGAAGCAACCTAGAACTAAGGAGAAACTTCCTAACAGTGAGAACAATTAATCAGTGGCTTATGTTCTGAAGTTATAGGTGCTTCATCACTGGAGGTTTTTAAGAAGAGATTGGACAGCCATTTGTCTGAAATAAAGAGTCTCCTCCTTGGGTTGGGTGTTGGACTGGTGTCCCTTCCAGCTCTATTATTCTGTTCTATTATTCTGTTATTTTTCTCTCTGACCCCATGTATCGATCCCATCAAGCTTAAAGAAAGTCTGGAATAGTATAGGATATCTTGGTAGGGACAGGGAGTTGGGCTAGAAGACCTCCAAGATTTTTCCAATCTTATTATTCTATGTCCTATGTTCTTTTCTGGCATTCTCCCTCATGCTATCAGAATACTGCCATTGTTGTTTTCTTTGTAATTTGAAGTGTGCATTATGCCCAGAATAGGGAGGCAAGTGAAATTTTGAATAGCAAGAATCTCAACAATTTTCTGGTCAAGCGGCAGGATGTTTCTGTCAAACTGTTGTTTCACAATTGGTTTCATTACCTAGGAATGTATGGCTGAAGGTGGAGATTGCTGCAGTTCCTGCATTCTAACTGCTAACTCTCAATGCAGTAATGGACTTTGTTGTAGAAAATGTCAGGTATGTATTGAAATGACAAAAAAAACCTACCCTTGTTTTAAGGAATTATGTGAGATTATTTATTTATTTAGCATATGGCATATCATACATTAATTAGTAATATATATTAACATTTCATCTAGATTAATTAAACACAATAAAATATAAATGTTGAAAAGATCTATATTCAAATACCTATGTCTAGGCCATCTAGCCATTGAAGTGCAGTATTGTTTATATGGAAAAAAAAATCAGATACTGGAGTGGTATATGCCCTCAGGTTAGCTGTAATGTACAGTTTGATATGAGACCCCACAATCACACTGAAGAGAGCATAATATGCCCCATTCGCACAGAGAGTCTTGGCAAGCCCTATGTGAGATGCAAATCCTATTCAGGATTGTCCATTGCTGAGATGTAGTTCAAAGCCTGACACCATTTTTGTGGGATCATTTATATGTCTTTCTAAGTCTGGACATTCAGCAACCGATTTGGCTTTCTATTGGGAATCGATGTTGAAGTTGGCAGGTGTTGTGCAAGTGCTAGTGGGGGCTTCCTGGATTTGAATTTTCCGGCTGTGGTATGAAGCTAGTCACCTCCTCATGGTGTACCCTGGTTAGTGCGACAGTGTGACTCAAAATACATGGCAATGAAAATGAAAAATGAGATGATGAATTGATTGAAAAATAATCTCATTCAGTACAGTGCCAAAATATGTAAGCTCTACCATACAAAATCTCAAAGGGGCAATCAGGTTTCTTTTTTAATTTTTATTTCTATTTGTATTAGATATACATCCATTTTTTTATATAAGAATTCAAGGAATTATACATGGTGTTTCCTCCTAATTTTTCTCACAACAGGTCTGTTCAAGTACTCTGGCTGAAAGTCATCCAGTAAGCTTTGGTGTTACACCAGTCTAATACCTTAATCATTACATTACAAAAACAGCACTGGCTGTTTTTATGATTCTGGTGTATAAAATTTTGTGTTAACTGAAATATATTGACTTTGTAAACTATGTAGAGAAGATTTTTCTCAACAATAGAAACTATATGAATATAACAAAAATATAGAAGCATCAGATTAAGGAAGATACTGATAAACTAGTAATAAAAAGGTAAAAATTGATCTAAATTGCTTCTCAAAAATTGGATGGATACATTTTAAGGCTGTGAAGGAAAAGAACCAATCACACAACCGCCAAACCTTTTCTTTCTGTGTAAAATACCTTAAAATAATGTCTTTTTTTCCTGGCAAATTGAAATGGTTGTTGTTACGTTTGATCCTGTTTAGCTTATCAAGAGTAGACAAAGTTAGCTTCAGATTGATGAATATGTTTATTTATGATTAAACAGTTTATTTACACAAGAACTTTGGAACTCTAGAACTACAATGCTATTCTAAACATATGGTTGTTAGTACAAGTAACAATGTCAGCATTATGTGTTGATCTTGTTTATACAAATTACCAATCAATAGACTGATTCTTTTTAACAATAAAATTTTAAACTGAACATTTGAGAATCATTTCTTAAATTATGTGAGTGGTATTGAGAAGCTCCAGTAAACTAGAAGTAAAAACATTATGATATCTATATTCAAACAATTGCAAATATATAGATGGTCCCACATATTAATTCTTATTTTTCAGTTTGAACTAAAAGGTGTGGTTTGCAGAGAAGCTGTAAATGATTGTGACATTCCAGAGACATGCAAAGGGGACTCCAGTCAGGTAAAGCTCATTAAAAAAATGGAATAATATAATTTTCGGACAGGTTATATAGGTAGTCCTCAACCTATGACTCAACTGAGTCCGAAGTTTCTGTTGCTAATCAAGACATTTGTCTCATTTTAAGGTCTTTCTTGCCACAGTTGTTAACTGAATCCCTGCAGTTGTTAAGTTAGTAACATGGTTTTTAAATGAATCTAGCTTCTCCATTGACTTTGCTTGTCAGAAGGCCACAAAAGATGATCACATGATCTTGGGACACTACAACCATCATAACTCAGTTGCCAAATGTCTGAATTTTAATCACATGCCCATGGGGATACTGCAATGGTTATAAGTGTGAAAAATGGTCATAAGTCACTTTTTTCAGTGTTCATTGTAACTTTGAACGATCACTAAACAAACTATTGTAAGCTGAGGACTGCCTGCATTTAATGAAGAGCAAGATTTGGAAAACTTTAAAAAAAATCATTTTAGATACTGTAGTTTTGCTTCTACAGTTATCTCACTAACCAGTTGATTATTTAATTCATTCTGCTTTATCTTTAGTGCTCCCCAAATCTCTACAAAATAGATGGGTATTCATGTGATAATGAACAGGTATGTATAATGTATCATTCCATTCAATTTTTATTATCAGAATATAAGGCAGACTTTATCCTAAGACCAAGCTGAGATTTTCAAAGGCTGTTGCAGTCATAGTTATCACCAAAGAGTCCTATCTGTGATTAATTTGGTACAATGGGAGCTTTCAATAATAGACTGATATTTTCTTTTTACAATGAAAAGAATAAACATATGACTGGAGTTTAAATATTAGGTCAGGATTGTCATGTTCCTCCCCAATTAGTTTCCTGTTGCTGAAGACAAAATTTCAGTTAACTGCATATAGTTTGTTCCCCTCATTTTTCAGTATCCTACTTTAATATTTGTTCATTGTTTGAATTAATTCTGCATGTTTATTATCACTTCTCTCATTGTAGCTAGAATGCAAAATATATGTCTGCAAGGTCTGTAACCAAGAAAAAATACCCCTTCATTTGCTAAGTGATACTAAACTAACAAACAGTCTGAAATATGTAGCACTCATTATGCACATTGGCTTTACAAAATTGATGAATTAATGATTTTTAATGATTAATGATTGTTTTTGTTTTTTTTAAAAAATCCCTATATGAAAAAAAATAGAAAAGCTGAACAAATTGGACCTATTGAAATTTAAAACTGGTTCCGCTTAGGATGGAAAGATAAAATGTATTTCAATGGTGACCATCAGATGGCAGTACAACTCTGGTAAATAGCTTCAGGCTTTTAGCACATAACTAACAGGCCTGTGTGCTTCTGATCAAATGGAAAATTCTTCTCAAAGCCTTAGCAATCAGCAGTTTGACCAAAATTGGATGTTAGAATTCATAACTATTTCTCTTCCCACACAAAGGAAGATTTCTCTATCCATATGGTTCTAAACCTTTTGAGATGAACATAGAACCGGCACAGAGCGTCACCATTATTATGAATACAAACGCGCGCGCGCGCACACACACACACACACACACACAAGCGCGCACGCACACACACAAGCGCGCACGCACACACACACACACAAGCCTGCTCATTCTGCCAAAGGATAGAAAGATGATCATCCTCCAGATTGTCATCTGTTTTCAGCATGCGAAGCTGTGGGAAAGAAGGAGGAAGGATTAGTTAAGTGAATGTGAAAAGAGACAGTAGAGCCTAGATATGAGGGCTGAGGGAAGAAATAATTTGAAAGAGACTGATTTAACTGACTCATTATATGTCTGTCCAGGAATTTACTCTTATAGTTTTAAAGGTTATATTTTTACTCCTGACTAGCATTAAAAATTCACATTTGCCAGCTATATGGAGCTTGATGTTTGGATGATCAGATCTCATAGTCTCATTAACTTCCAAAGTTAGTTTACCATCTGCATAAACTCAATATCATGGATGGCATTTCTCTCCCATTCTTCTTCTCATGGATGTTCACTTCCTTCCAGTATCTAAAATCTCAGAAAACCTCAAGATGTTTAGCAATTCCAATGAAGACAATGAACTCTCTCTTATGGATGGTAGAGACATATGATCCTCTTTCTAGACCTAATTCACCATAGATGCCAGCCTTGGGAGGGAAATATACTGTCTGTGTTAAATAGCCCAGGGAATCTGGAAATGACAAAGCCTAAAGGATTATAAACCTCCTGGAACTATAAGCAGCATGACCTCTTTTGGGCAAGTTTCCCCTAAAAGACTGAACATCTTCTTCTGATAGCAGTGTGACCACCAAAGTTCACATCAGGGGGAAGGCAGGTAGCAAATCAAAGCAGCTGATGAAGGGGATGGAAAATCCTCTAAATTGTGCAGAAGCAAACACACCGTCCCTCACAGTGGAACACATCTAGGGAATCCAGAAATCAATAACAGACTGACTTAGCCACAAGGAGTGAGATTTTGGTAAATGGAAATGACTTGACCTCTGAGGAATACAGTTGCATTCTTTGGAAGTCCAGTGATGGATCTCTTAGCAGTCCCCATTGTGACAGGTTACAAAAATTGAAGAAAGAAAAGACATAAATAATCAAAACACAGAAGACAATCCATTCACAGCTTATCTCATAAAGACAACTCAGCTCAAGTTGCAAGAACTGGAAATATTTTTTTTCAAATGATTCAAAGGGACTCCTCATACAATGTTAACTGCTAAGATTCCGACTGATAAACCCAACCGTTCCAATTTCTTAAAGTAAAACTTTATTGAGTACATCATTTTGGCACATATGAAAGCAAAACCAGCTCTGGCAAACCCAAGCCCCTATAGCAGTGGTGGCGAACCTATGGCATGCGTGCCAGAGGTGGCACTCAGAGCCCTCTCTGTGGGCACACATGCCGTTGCCCCAACCCCACCTCCCCAGGGCCCCCTCTTCAGCAACCCCCCCAGAGTAGAATCACCCCCGGGCGCGGCCCGCATGGAGCAGCGCAGCCAAGGACATGGCAGCCAGGCAGCGGGGACAGATGCTGTGGGGTGTGGGTGGAAGGCGTGGTTGTTATGGTGCTGCAGGGCCACCTGGGTGATCTGCGGTGGGCTGTGGAGGAGGTGGGTGGCCCTGTGGGTGGGCGGAGCAGGGGTGGGGGCAGAGCAGGTGGGTTGGGGCGGGGTGGGCTGAGAGGTGAGGTGGTTTTGACGCACTCGGTCTCTAAAAGGTTTGCCATCACTGCCCTTAGTAAAAGAATAAAATTTCCTCTCCCATTCATGAATGGGTCACATTGCCCAATTAGGTACAATTATATTATTAAGAGATTGGAATGTCTTGAAGGTGTTTGCTTGGTTGGGTTCGTCAGTCAAAACCTTGACATTTGCATTAAAAAAAAAATCTCTGCAGTTCATATTTTCTTGATCTTGTCCAAGGGGAGAGGTTCTGATATTCAGTATAGTATCTACTAACCCGCAATTACAAGATGGAGCAATTCATCTCATTTTTGATTTATGGAACAGAAGCAGTAAACATCTTCACTGCCACCTGGCCCAGCGACAGTTGCTTGGCACTGATGTTTTGTAGCATATGAACACATATTTGTTATTGTTAATTAAAATAATAATAAAGTATTTCATTCTCTTGACACAAGCTTTGAAGAATATATTGGCAAGCATATTGTTGTTCTTAGATGGGAATCTAGTTAATTGGGATAAAAGAAGTTTCAAAATACCAAACTTGGACTTTGGGACAATTATGGGATATCAGATAGACTTCAAAAAAAACCTATGAACAGGATTTCTTAGAACAAAATCATGAGAAGGAGGAATAAAGTAAGCTTTATGGATTTCTTGGTTGTTTAATTGCTTTAAATCCATTGAAGAAAATACAGCTAAATATAAATAGGGAAACTGAATATCTCTTGAAAGCATGATACTGTTGTGAACTGTTTGATATATTAAGAAGATAGTAATTATTAATTTCTTTTAAAAAATCATCAATTCAAAGCCAAATGAGTTTACTGGCAGGAAAGAAGGTTACAATCAGATATGTTGAGCAAGATATTTATGTTTCTGGGAAACTGTCCAAAATTGAATTAGTAAGTGAGAGCACTCAGTCCTAAATCCAATCAATAACAGCAATTATAGTCCTTAGAGCATTTACAGTTCTTGTTCTGTGAATTTACAATAGTTTGTTCTCAGTTCCACTGTTTTTTTTCCAGAAAATGAAAACTTGGAGCCATAATTTTTGAATAACGTTTAAGCAAAATTCAAGGCACTGAAATACCTATATATGGAGACCAATATCATTTCTGTTCTTTTAGCAAAAAGTAGAGAAAGGGAATTGTTTTCTACTCTTGTTGTATGCCACTCAGAGTTGTGAGAACAGGGACATATAAATTAATTAAATAAATCACTTTTCTGGATGTTGTGGTCTTTTATATTGAATCTATAAGATAGTGATGGCGAACCTTTTAGACACTGAGTGCCCAAAAACTGGCCCCGCCCCCACTCCAACCCTTGCCCCGCCCCCACTCCAACCCCCCATCTCCCGCCCCACCTGCCCGCAGAGCCACTCACCACCTCCAGGGCTCGCCACAGATTGCCCAGGCAGCCCAGCAGCTCTGTGGTGATCACGCCCTCTTTCCGCGCCCTGCAGCATCAATTGTGCACGATGGGGTGTGAGGGCAGAGTCTTGTCTACACTGCCTGGCTGCCATGTCTTTGGCTGCGCTGCTCCACGTGGGCCACACTCAGGGGTGACTCTCCTTCAGGGGGGCTGCTGGAGAGGAAGGGGTCACAGGGGGAGGCGAGGCTGGGGCAACGGCATGTGTGCCCACAGAGAGGGTTCCAAGTGCCGCATCTGGCATCCGTGCCATAGGTTCGCCACTGCTGCTATAAGACATTGGCAACTAAACACAATCAAACTGATTTTGACAACACATGCCTGAATATGTTGACTTCAATGGGTAGAAAAATAGATAAGCAATTGTTTATTGAATGAATATTTACAAAAAATGGTGATTACTTTCTAACATTTTCTCTTTAGGGCATTTGTTTTGGAGGAAGATGCAAAACAAGAGACAGACAGTGTAAATACATATGGGGAGATAGTGAGTAATATCTTTAAACTCTGAAACTATGCTTTTGCTTCTTTTGAAAACTTGTTCATTAGCTATTGAATATATTCACAGGTGTACAATATATACATATTGTATGTTTTTTCTTCCTCTCAAAATTTGGTGCCCTTCCAGATTTCCTCAGGATAATATTGTTCAAGAGATGGGAGTTCCTGGAAGTAGATTCTCTTAAAAGGAAGTTAATTGAAATGGTCTGAAGACAGTTGAGACCCAGAACAAACCTGTTTCATCTGTAACACCATGTCTACAGTACCTCAAACCACTATGTATTGGAGAATTTACGTTCAGGAGCTGCCTATCCATCCCAAAAATGAAATAATCCAGAGGGAAGAATGGAATAATCTGGATTTCTCCAAAATATTCCATTTTGGAATTGATTAGTTTTGCACATCCCTATCTATTGTATTTTGCCGTTATTTCTGAGCAACTGATGAATTTTTCTGTTTTTTCTTATGTTATCTAAAGAAAATTTAAGAAAGTTCTTATCTGAAGAAGCCCTTGTTGTTCTTAGCATCATTTAACTACCTCAGCAAATTCTTTCATTTTCCTGACGCCATCGTGCAGTTCCAGGCTAACTTTCTTCATGATCTGTTCATCTTTATACTGTTTGGGCTTTCCTTAAGCATGTTGGCTTTTTCTCTCTTCCATTCTTTTTAGTCTAATTGGAATTATTAGAATTGTGTTTTTAGACCTCCTTTTTAGAAATTCCCCCCTCTTCAGTTCTTTTTCCCATGAAAGTCCCCTAACTAAGAACCTATTTATCTATGTTCTGAGTTTATTAAAATTCATATGCAGGTGGTCCTCGACTTACAACAGTTCATTTAGTGACCATCCAAAGTCACAACAGCACTCAAAAAAGTATCTTAGACCATTTTTACAGCATCCCCATGGTCATGTGATAAAAAGTCAGACGCTTGGCAACGGATTCATACTTATGACAGTTGCAGTGCCCTGGGGGTCCTCTGATCCCCATTTGTGATCATCTGACTAGCAAAATCAATGGGGAAGCCATATTCACTTAACAACCTTGTTACTAATTGAACAACTGCAGCAATTCACTTAACAAATGTGGCAAGAAAAGTCATAAAATGGGGCAAAACTCACTTAAGAAATGTCTAGCTTAGCAGCAGAAAATTTGGGCTCAGTTGTGGTTGTAAATCGAGGATTACCTGTATATGGAGCCGGACAACTTTCAGTCATTAGGTAAACCTATAAAACACTTTAAACTGGAATCAAAAATAAATTCATTAGAACTAGATCAGGGGTGTCAAACTCAATTTCATTGAGGGCCGCATCAGCATTGCAGTTGCCCTCAGGGGACCAGGTGGGTGTGGCCATGGTGGGTCCAGCCTATTGGGTGGGCGTGGATGGAGTGGGTGTGGCTTACTGGGTGGGTGTGGCCAACTCTACATCATTCGCATCAAGGGTGCCTGTGGGGGCCTGGGCAGGAGTGGGACAGATCTGAGGGTCTCTGGCAGAAGAGGATGGGACCAGGGCAAGTGCCAAGGCATGGTCCATTGGAGGAGCCTCACTGTTCCTCTCAGGCCATGTGGGGGGGGGGCTTATGGAGCTAAGACTGAATGCATTTCAGCATAGATGGCCACCACAAAATTATACATTGGCTCCCGGCTGGCCTGGGCCAGGGCCAAGGCAGTGGGGACCATTCCCTCACTGTTTCCAGGATGGCTTCGCGGGCCACATGAAACTACTTCACGTGCCGCATCCGGCCCCCAGGCCTTGTGTTTGACATGTCTGAACTAGATGAAGCATTTTCTCTTTCATTTTCTTTTCCTTTCAGTATTTCTGGCATGCTGACTGTGGCACAATGGGTCATTAAGTTGAATGCAAATAAAGATATCAATTTGGCTAAGGCTAAGTTAGATGGCATCTTTCTTTTTTAGATACAAATTCTTGTGTGTTTTTATGCTCTATCAGCTTGTTATATTTTATTTTTATATGTCTGTAAGAAAAAATAGTTGTGAGTATATAATTTGTGGGCTTTAATGTCAATATTTACATTTACAATGTTGAACTTCTAACTCCAACAACACATCGTTATCTTTTAAAATATATTTTGTGTGCAGAAGTGACAACTGCTGATAAATATTGCTATGAAAGATTAAACATAGAAGGAACAGAGAAAGGTAGCTGTGGGAGAGACAAAGATACTTGGATTCAGTGCAAGAATGAGTAAGTTAATCCCACTCTGCTTGCATAATATAGTATTTGTATTTGTGTTCTATCATGGTTTATAAGCTTCTTTACAAATATTCCTTTTCACTTTTAAACCTACTGTACATGCTAATCTATTTAATGGTGATTCTTATTCTCACTGCATTTCTTGTAGCATTTTTGTTCCCCTAGTGCTTCTTCTCTACCACCCAAAATGAATAATTATTAAATTGGATGACTAAATTTTTGTGACTTTGTTTAGAGTGGATGTTGATACTCCAGTAATAGCAGGTTTTGTATATTTACTAGGAATAGCATTAAAATTGTACTGCTAAACACAGGTCTAGAGTCCTGCATCTATTCACATGTTTTACTTTTATTTACCAGAAGAGGTCAGTTTTGCCTAATCTCTTTTTTTTTTCCAGACCTTCAGAGTAGCATAGATATAGTTTGCATTATTATGCGGTAGGTGATCAGATAATTATTTTGTAGAATATCAGAACTCTTGTCAAGTTAATAATGAAAGAAAAGATCCACACTTTTGTAAGCGTCCAGAAGATGTACCAAATTTTTAATGGGGAGACTGGGAAAAAGGAAGTGTGTGTGTGTGTGTGTGTGTGAGAGAGAGAGAGAGAGAGAGAGAGATCTCCAATGATGTGTAATTTGTATAGATCTCAGCCATAATCTGAATTAACATTGTTCACTAAAACAGAATGGGACAACTTGCCACGACCAACATACTATGGCCAATTTGCCATGGACCAACTTGCTGTGGGATAATTTAACAATTCAATTTAAATATTTAAAATAAATAACAAATTATTTTAATTTTTGTCATTCGCATTTCATTCTGTGCTGCCTTTTTCAGCCTTTCTTTAATGATTCTATTCTATCATTTGTTTGATATTAATGTAACTCTTGCCCTGCAGTGAGTTGTCCCACGGTGAATTGGCTGTGGCGAGTTGTCCAAGCTAGCTGTGGCAATTAGGCTATGGCAAGTTGGCCATGATGAGTGGGCAAATTGTCATAGACCCCACTGAAGATAATTCTGCAAATTAGAGGATTGTATTGGGAGTTCCAGAGTAAGTAGCAAGCAGTATATTCTTCTGCAATCATTTTTTTAAAAAAATAAATTTTGAGTATTTCTTGAAGTAGGAAATTGTAGCTAGAAATGTTTCTTTTAGGCTGTTTTTAAAGTAACAGCCTGCTTAATGTTTCTTCCCAGAGATGTTCTTTGTGGATATCTACTGTGTTCTAACATTGTCTCTAATATTCCAAGACTTGGAGAGCTTGATGGCGAAATTACATCTATTTCTCTCCAAAATCTGGGAAAAACTTTCAATTGCAGGTAATCCTTGCCAACAGATATTTTTTTATTTCACTACTGTTTCTATGTATTTTTTATCTTAAATAAAAAAGATAAAATTAGTTACTTTCTCATCTTCTCTATTTTTTTACATTGGGTTTGCCTAACTTTATTTTTCCCCCATAAAATATTGAGCAGCAGACTAGCTGTCTTCTTTGGTCTTTGATCTTCTTTTAATGTTCATTAAATTCACCATATTTCCAACCATCTAAGTTATAAAGTACTGAGGTAATGTTTGTCCTAATAATTCAAATTCTACTTTGTTTCTTTCTTTTAGTCCAGGATTTTTAGTAATATATTCTGTATATAAATTATTTAAGGTGATAATATACAGTATAGGCACGCTCCTTTTTCAATTTGGAACTATATAGTTGCTCTAATTATTGCTTTCTGATTATCCTACAAGTTGATCAATAGGATGGAGAACTGGCTTGATACAATATATTCATATTTTTGACAACTACCCATAATTTGTGGTGGTCTGAGTCAAAGATCTGTATCCATCAATGAAGAAAATAATAGATATGTTTTTGGAACTTCTTTGCCTTTTTTTAAATCATACATTATTAGTGATGTGATCTCAGGTGTCTCTGCCTCTTCTATATCTGGCATCTGGAAATTCTCATTCTACATTTTGTTGAAACCTGGATTGCAAAATCAAACATTATCTATCTAATATATGAGATAGATGCGGTTGTTCAACAATTTGAATATTCATTAGCACTGTCCAGTTTTGGTATTGGAATTTAAATTATCTTTTCCATTGTTGGCTTACAAACTACTTGCATCATATTTTAATCAATTTGGCTGATGTTTCATCAACTCCTGCAGCCTTTTTGGCAACATTTTCTAGGATTTGTTGAATTTGATGTTCCATAATGTGTGGCACTATTCCACTGATCAAATCTTTATACATATTATAAATATTGTGATTTCTTGGTTTCCTTGTACAACTGCACCATCTTTTCTGTATATTTTTCTTTTGGACGACCTTTTATATCTTATATCAAGCTCAACCAATGTTGCCCATCTAATATTCTGTGAATATATATATTCCCACTGTATAGCTCAAAGCATTATTGTAATGTGTTGCTTTTCATCACAGTAAGCTAACAATCCATTAAGTTGTCCTTATAACCCTGATATTCTACAGTCGTTATTCATCTATTTACTAATCAAGACTGATCCATCTTAACTTCCATGACCAGACAAGGTCAACTAGATACAGTGATCTACTAAGACTTGTATACATACAGAGGGACATAATATCTTAATATAAAATACTGTGGTTGAGTTTTTGTTCAAAATGATTTTCATTTGATAAAATGTTTTCATTAACTAAATCTTATTCCATTTATAGTGGTGGTCATGTGAAGTTGGAGGAAGATGCAGACCTGGGTTATGTAGAAGATGGGACATCCTGTGGTCCTAATAGAATATGCTGGGATCATAGATGTCTCTCAATGGATACTTTTAACTTCAGTTCCTGTCCTGGAAGTACAGATGGCTTTATTTGTTCAGGACATGGAGTAAGTTTAGTCTTTTGTCTAGAGATGGGGGAGTTGAAATGTGAAAGAAATATTATTCATTCTTTTTGGATATTTAAAGAAGCCCAGTAAAGCAGCAGTACATGGATGAAGAATAATGATGAAAGTGCCTTTAAGCTGAGCTCACTTCCTAATGATTACATCAACCAGGACCAGTCTATATAATTTTCTTTGCACAGTATAGAAGCAGTTGTTATGGCCTTTTTCTGTAAGCTTTTTTAACTACCCAATTTAGGATATAATCCTGGGATTTTTTTCAATGCTGCAGTAAATTTCTAGCACAAATTAATCTTTCTATCCCTTGTAAACCAGGAATGTTTTTAAAGATGTTCCAAAATAAATAGTATAAATCTGGGAGTCATTTATTAACAATTCTGTTCCAGGTAGTAATTCTAAAAATGAGAGGGGAGCTTTCAAATGAAGATTTGTTTGCATGCATGAATGTTCCTTTGAGAAAGTTTGTTTCTGACTGATCAAGAGTGTCTCTTATAGGTAGTTATAATTTCAGCATGTTAAATTTTGTATTACACAGAAGAGAAAAATCTTTTTCTTTGCCCCCATAAACACTTTCCCCCCAATATCCTTACATATGTTGTTCAGTCCCCATAGTTTATATTCCCTTTTCTCCTCTTCTCTTTAAAAAAATAGTTTGTCTGTTAAACTAATATTATTAGCAGTTTGAGACGAATAGTGTTTTTGGTTGAGGCCATTACTTTAAAAATACTTACCATTTTCAACATCTGAAAATTATAGGAGCCATTACGTAGTCATAAGCAGAAATAAATTATTTTGCAATTTTTCTGAGAGTGGAAGGTAAAAGAAATAGGTGTTTTGCATTTTTAATATAAAGAAAACTTTATGTTAAAGACCAAAAAAATTCTTGAAAACTTGTCCAAAATGTAGTGGAAGATCCTGAAAAAGCTCTATAGATTCCCATAATGGGAGTGAAGGCCACATCAGGACCATGAGCCACTTTGGTGTAATGGTTAAGACATCAAGCTAGAAACTGGGAAAGTGTGAGTTCTAGTCCTGCTTTAGGTGGAAAGCCAGCTGGGTAACTTTGGGCTAGTCAATTTCCTCACAGGACTGTTATGGGAAAAATAGGAGGAAGAATCAATTATAAAAATAATAAAAATGGGATATAAATAAACAAAATGAATTGAAGCTTATCCATTCATGGTCAATTAATTAAATATGGGAGATTATAATACAGCACGGCTGTACTCAGCATGTGGTCCTCAATGGAACCGCATCTACGTGGAGGGAATTTTGTAGTGGGGACTCTGTTCTGGGCCCAATGCTCTTCAACATCTTCATCAATGATTTGGATGAGGGGATAGATGGGGAACTCATCAAATTTGCAGACGACACCAAGCTGGCAGGAATAGCCAACACTCCAGAAGATAGTCTTAAGATACAGAAGGATCTGGACAGACTTAAACACTGGGCGTTATCTAACAAAATGAAGTTCAATGGTGAAAAAAGCAAGGTTCTATATTTATGCAAGAAAAACCAAATGTACAGGTATAGTATAGGGGGTACCTTGCTCAATAGTAGTAACTGTGAGAGGGACCTCAGAGTCCTAATGGACAATCACTTAAATATGAACCAGCAGTGTGCTGCAGCTGCCAAAAAGGCCAACACAGTGCTAGGCTGCATTAACAGAGGGATAGAATCAAGATCACGTGAAATGTTAATACCACTTTAAATGCCTTGGTAAGGCCACACTTGGAATCCTGCATCCAGTTTTGGTCACCGTGATGTTAAAAGATATTGAGACTCTAGAAAGAGTACAGAGAAGAGCAACAAAGATGATTAGGGGACTGGAGGCTAAAGCATATAAGGAACAGCTGCTGGAATTGGGTATGTCTAGTTTAATGAAGAGAAGGACGAGAAGAGACAAGATAGCAGTGTTCCAATATCTCAGGGACTGCCACAAAGAAGAGGGAGTCAAGCTATTTTCCAAAGCGCCTGAAGGCAGGACAAGAAGCAACGGATGGAAACTAACCAAAGAGAGAAGCAACCTAGAACTAAGGAGAAACTTCCTGACAGTTAGAACAATTAACCAGTGGAACAACCTGCCTCCAGAAGCGGTGAATGCTCCAACACTGGAAGTTTTTAAGAAGAGACTGAACAGCCATTTGTCCGAAATGGTAATAGGGTTTCCTGCCTGAGCAGGGGGTTGGACTAGATGACCTCCAAGGTCCCTTCCAACATTTATTATTATTATTATATATTATTATTATTATTATTATCGATCATCGCACAGTCAGCCAGATGTTCAGACTGGATTTGGCATTTTGTCTACCTATCGAGTCCTTACCCAGGACCTGGGATAGGCAGATGTGGATGTTTGATGGTATTACAGATATCGTCGCAGGATGGAAGCAGTTCCTAATAAGGCCGCCTTTTGCAATTGACTAATAGCGAATTTGTCAATGCCAATGGTGTTCAAGTGGTGCTCCAGTTGTTTTGGGATTGCACCCAAGGAGCCTATGACTATTGGTACTACCCTTGCTTGCTTTTGCCACAGTCTTTCTATTTCTATTTGTAGGTCTTTGTATTTTGTTATCTTCTCCAGTTCTTTCTCTCTATTCTGCTATCTCCAGGCACTGCCACATCCACTATCCAGACTTTTTTGTCTTTCTTATCGACAATTGTTAAGTCTGGGGTGTTATGTTGCAGGTGCTTGTCTGTTTGAATTCTGAAGTCCCAGAGCAGTTTAATTTTATCATTTTCTATGACTTTCTCTATTTTATGATCCCACCAGTTTTTGCTTACAGGCAAATGATATTTTTTGCAGATCTTCCAATGCACCATTGTTGCTACTTTGTCATGCCGCTGCTTGTAATCAGCAATCTTCTTGCAACCTTAAGTGGTCCACTGTTTCTTCAGCTTCTTTGCATAGGCGGCACTTACTGTCTGTTGCTGTCTTCTCAATTTTGACTTTGTATGCATTTGTCCTTAAGGCTTGGTCTTGTGCAGCCAGAATTAGTCCCTCGGTCTCTTTCTTCAATTTTCCTGCTCTTAGCCATTGCCAGGTTTTATTGTTATCTGCTTTCCCAGCTATTTTTTTCATGTATTGGCCATGTAGTGCTTTGTCTTCCCATGCCTCTATTCTGTTCTTCATTTGGTCTTTCTTGTAGGCCAGTTTGGTCTCTCCAGTAGTTAGTAAGCCTTCCTGATATACTAATTTCAGTGCATCTTCATCATTGTTCTTCAGATATTCTTCCAAAGCCATTTTTTCTTCTTCAACCATCTGATGTACTTGTAGCATTCCACGCCCACCTATTTGCCTTGGTAGATAAAGTCTATCAATGTCACTGCGTGGATGAAGGGCATGATTCATTGTCATTATTTTTCTGGTCTGCCTATCCATTGCTTTTAGTTCTGCTTGAGTCCAGTCCACTATTCCAGCTGTGTACCTAATGACTGGGATTGCCCAGGTGTTGATTGCCTTTATGGTATTTCCTCCATTGAGTTTGGATTTTAAGATCTTCTTCACTCTCTTGATGTATTCACCTCTAATCTTTTTCTTGACTTCAGTGTGCTTGATGTTGTCAGCTTGAAGGATACCCAAGTATTTGTAGTACTCTTCCTCATCCAGACTCTTAATGTTATTTTCGTGGGGCATCTTGATTCCTTCAGTTTTCACTATTTTTCCTTGTTTGATAGTAAGTGTGGCACATTTGTCCAAGCCAAACTCCATTACAATATCTTGGCTATATATACGGACAGTGTTGAGCAGCGATTCTATTTCAGATGATGTTTTTCCATACAGCTTCAGATCATCCATGTAAAGGAGGTGGGATAGTCTGGCAGATGTTTTTGATGTTTGATAGCCATGTCCTGAGTTATTCAGTATTGTTGACAGAGGAAACAGTGCAATAACAAATAGTAATGGTGATAATGAATCTCCTTGAAATATTCCTCTCTTGATATTAACCTCTCCCAGCCTCTCACCATTGATCTGCAACTGTGTCTTCCATTGTGCCATCGATCTTTGCACAAATTTTCTGATGTTTCTACTGACTCCTGTTATTTCTAGGCACTTTATTATCCAATCATGTGGCAGAGAGTCAAATGCCTTTTTGTAGTCAATCCATGCCACATTCAGGTTGGTCTTCCTTCTCTTGCAGTTTTCCAAGATCATTTTGTCTATTAGGAGTTGATCTTTTGTTCCTCTGCTATTGGGGCGGTTTCCTTTCTGCTCAGGTGGAAAGAGATTGTTTTCAACTAGATGCTGTTGCACTGCATCAGCTACTACACCAGTTAGTAATTTGAAAGTTGTTGGTAAGCAGGTAATTGGCCTGTAGTTACCTGGTGTTGCCCCTTTTGCTGGATTTTTCATTATTAGGTAGGTTTTCCCAGTTGTTAGCCACTTTTCAATTTCTCCTCCTTGTAGTATATTGTTGAACTGCTTGGCAATGAGTGGGTGTATAACAGTTAGATGTTTCAACCAAAACCCATGCAGTTCATCTTCACCTGGTGCTGACCAATTTTTGATTTTCTTTGCTCTTTTTTCTACCATTTTTGTTGTTATTACTAGTTCTTTCATTTCAACTTCTGTTTTATTTGCATCCACCTCTTTTAACCAAGCCGCATCCTTGTTGTATTTCTTTGGGTTATCCCATATCTGCTTCCAGAACTGCACTGTTTCTTCCTTGTCAGGTACTGACTGATTCCTTGCAGTTTCTCCATTGATGGATTGGTAGAAACGTTTCTGATTGGATTGAAATTGGAGGTTCTGCCTATAGTTTGCAATTCGAGCTTCATATCTACTGATTTTCCTGGCTATAGCTGTTATTTGTTGCTTTATTATTTCCAGTGCTTCCTTGATCTTCCTTGTTTCTAAGTGGTATTTCTTGATTAGGTATTCTTTGGTCTTCTTGTTCTTCAGCTTCTTTTCTTTCATCTGTTCTAGCTTGCTTGCATGTGATCTTAACTTGCTGATCTTATTTTCTAGTCTAACCTTCCATTTTTCTGGTGCACTGTTTGTTTGTTTTTCTTCTTTGTTGATTTTGCATCCCAGGTATTCTGTTATAACTGCAGCTGTGCTGTACATTAGTTGGTTTGTTTCTTGCAGTGAATTGGTGCTTATACTTGATATTGCAATATTTGCATCTTTTAATGCTTGTGCTAGCTGTTTCTTTGGAACAAGCTTCAATGCAGGTAGCCTTATTCTGTTGTTTTTGTGCTGTTCTAGATGCTCAGTTATTCTTTGTTTCAATTCTTTTATTTCTTTAGTTAGAGGGTTTTGTTCTTCCTGAGGTAGAGGTGCCTGGTTTCCAAATGAGAACAGTTGTATATCTCTGCTAGATTCCTTCACTGCCAACTCCCCCTGGTTTGCCTCTACATTCTGAATTACTTCTGGTAAGGCTTTGATTTCTTTGCCCTGGGTAAACCTTTGCAGTTCGTCCAATTCTGTTTCTGTGAATACTTTATTTCGTGTTATAAATCGGCGTTGATCTGCTAGTCTCTGTTCTGTTATTTCTGATTCTGGATGTTGTTCTTTCCAGAACTTGGTGCATTCGTTTTAGATATCCTCTTCTTGTTGGACTTGATCTGTAGTAACAGATCATTATTTCTTTGTTTTCCATCACTGTGTATCTGCGACGGGTAAACACCTTTTCTTCCAGTAGTTCTGCAGCTGCTGGCCCTGGTTGCTCAGCCAACAGTCCTGAGTCCTGTAACCCATTTTTCACCAGATATCCAGGAACTCCAATATCTAGTGCGGACCTTGTTAACCCGGGCGACGTCCGAGCCGGTATGGCATTCTGAAATTTACGTCTCACCATATTTTTTATGGGAGAGACACTCTTTGTCTGACTCCTCTGATGAGACCTGTCCAGTATGGTTGAACCTCTGGCATAGCTCTCATCTTCCTCAGAGTACACAAGCCCACAACCACGTCAAGGTAGTGTTATTATTATTATTATTATTATTATGGATCATCGCACAGTCAGCCAGATGTTCAGACTGGATTTGGCATTTTGTCTACCTATCGAGTCCTTACCCAGGATCTGGGATAGGCAGATGTGGATGTTTGATGGTATTACAGGTATCGTCGCAGGATGGAAGCAGTTCCTAGTAAGGCTGCCTTTTGCAATTGACTAATAGCGAATTTGTCAATGCCAATGGTGTTCAAGTGGTGCTCCAGTTGTTTTGGGATTGCACCCAAGAAGCCTATTACTATTGGTACTACCCTTGCTTGCTTTTGCCACAGTCTTTCTATTTCTATTTGTAGGTCTTTGTATTTTGTTATCTTCTCCAGTTCTTTCTCGTCTATTCTGCTGTCTCCAGGCACTGCTACGTCCACTATCCAGACTTTTTTGTCTTTCTTATTGACAATTGTTAAGTCTGGGGTGTTATGTTGCAGGTCCCAGAGCAGTTTAATTTTATCATTTTCTATGACTTTCTCTATTTTATGATCCCACCAGTTTTTGCTTACAGGCAAATGATATTTTTTGCAGATCTTCCAATGCACCATTGTTGTTGTTGTTATTATTATTATTAAAAAATTCATTAGTTTCTTAGATTCCAAGGAAATATATATTAGGATTTTTCTGTTTTTAAATTTGAATTACATCCATTGTAGGTTTGCAGTAATGAAATGCAGTGTGTCTGTGAGCAGTTATGGACAGGTATAGACTGCAGCAAGCGTCTCATGAAACCAATCATTGATGGAAGCTTGCACAATTCAGGTGAGCTATACATGTTTTGTGGCAATGTTACTATTCATGTGAAATGGCTTGAACATGATCTATACCGAAATAAGGGTACTGATTCTTCATTTAGCACTTTTAAGGAAAGAATCTTCCATCATATTTTGGTCCTGTTCAAATATAGCTACACTTACATTGTTATATATAGAATTAGAAAGAATAACAACTATTTTTGACTCTCACAAGTTTGAATCCTGTGTGGCTCATTGTTCACTTAAGTGTCCCAGAATTTTACATTAAAAGAAAAAGATTGTGTAATTTTAAGTGGGTTTCTTCAGTGGTAATGCAACAAATTCTTGTTTTTGTTTTAATCTAGGTGTCACTAGCACAAATATTATTATTGGTGCTATTGCTGGTACAATTTTAGTGTTGGCTCTCATTATGGGAATAACAGCATGGGGTTACCGGTAAGTAATTTATATATAGAGAAAAAAATTATAAGCTAAGAAATAAGATAATGGTTGATAACATGTGTTAACAAAGAGTAAAAAATAACAAAACCATTGGTTTCACCAGTTAGAAAAAAACAATAAGAAAGCAGGAAATGTAATAATTCAATTCTTAATTAGATATAAAGTTCTAGTTTGTAATTAAATAAAAAAATCTTCATTTTCAAATATTTATCTGTTTTAAATAGATCCAATGAAGAAAATATTAGTGCAGCATTAAAGAACAGATGTGCTCTTAATTTTTAAAAGTATAGAAATCTGTCTCATTAGATGCAAAGAGACAAAGAACTCATTATATTTGGATCTAAAATTTTAAATTCTGTACATCATATTAAAATTGTTATACAATTTTGAAAATAATGCAGAGAATGTAGAGAAAAAACCCCACTTCTTTCTCGGTGTTACCCACTGAAGTTGATTTACAATAGTTTCAAAAGGAGCACAAAACCCCTTCTATATAATGTGGAACTACAGAGAATTTTCTGCAGTAGATTATAGAGATGAAGATGAGAGAAGAGAGAGAATAATTCTATTGACAAATGCCTTTCCAGCAAGCTGGACAAGTTATTAGTGCCCAGTGCTGAAGTTCTAAGATCTTAAAAGAAGAAAGGGTTGATCCATGTAGAACTGCTAAACATAGCTAGCACTTTAATTTTCTGAAAGAGTCAGAATTATATCATCTAAAAAATGTGAGATATATATGTTTTGATTGCCTGTTGCTTCTTACAACTCACTCCAACTGAAGGCATTTTGCCTTTTTACAGACCACGTGCCCCTGAAATATCAGTTGTTAATAGAATTTTGGTTGAAATCCTGCTTTCCCAGAAGTATCTGTTTTTTCATTGTGGACATCAGAATAGTTGACTCGAGTTCCAGGTTTCCAGAGATCATAAATAATCAGTCATGGTGCATGAATCTTTAGTTTCAATAAACTGGTTTATTGCATTCCTAATAGTCAAGGTTTCTGAACTCCACTTTTCATGTCAAGCATGTCTTGCTAAGGTATCAGATTAAATACCAGAGGAGAGTTGTATTTTGTTTAAATTTAGGGAAAATGAAATATTATGAGTTCATTTCTTGATATTTGGAATATTTTGCAAGAAAAAATGTAATTGAATATAAAATGTACACTACTTTGCAGGCACTTGTCAAACAGAAAAAAATGTGTCTCCTACTTATTCAGGGCATCAGCCTATTGTTCTTAAATACAAGTAATCCTTGATTTACTTCAAGCATAATTAAGCCCAAAATTTCCGTTGCTAAGTAAGACAGTTGTTAAATGAATTTTGCCCCATTTTACGACCTTTCTTGCCACAATTGTTAAGTGAATCACTGCAGTGGTTAAGTTAGTAACATGATTGTTAAATGAATCTGGCTTCCCCTTTGATTTTCCTTGTCAGAAGGTCACAAAAGGTGATTATGTGACCCTGCGACACTGTCATAAATATAAGTCAGTTGCCAAGTGTCTGAATTTTGATCACATGACCATGGGGATTTTGCAATGATTGTAAGTGTGAAAAATGGTCATAAGCCACTTTTTTCAGTGCCGTTCTTTGAATGGTCAGTAACTGAACTGTTGTAAGTTGAGGACTACTTGTACAACAAAATTAAATTCAAAATTCAAAAATAATTAATAATTACTAGCGTTTTTAATATATTGTGAGTCTTTGAGCTTGGTTCCTTAGAATTGCTTACAAAAGTGAGATCTGATTTCAAACAATGGCTTCCTACATCCAATCTTAGCTTGCCCCTGAAGTTTTCATAATTTTTTTGATGTGCACATGAGGGGAGGGAGCAGATGGATTAATGGCACAAGATACTAACATATGAGGGAAAATGTAAGATTGCCTTCTTCTTCTTCTCAGAGTTTATGGGATCCAAAAATTCTTTAAAACACTAAATAAAGTGAAAGCAAATGCCATATGATAATTCATTCTTTATCTCTCTTCCTTTCTCTTGTAAGAAACTATCGAAGACAGAGGTATGTGCCAATAAAGTATGCGACCATATTGTCTCAGAATGCTTGAAATAAAAATCCCTGTTCCTTACTTATTAGGGGGTATGAATGCTTATAGATATTTGTGTGAATCAAAGTATTCCATATTATGTTTATGTTCCACTGAAAATCCTGTTTATTTATGGACTTGTCACTAACAAATAACCTAATTGGTCTCTTTTTTAATGTTTAGTATTTCCTTCCCTTGGGTTTATATTTTCTATTATAATTTTTGTTCCTTAGCAATCAAAATACTGAAGATTTATCCCTAGATTGCCATCCAGAAAAGTGTAATATCCTAAACATGTTAATTTTTTAAGGTGTTACCAGATATTCTTGATACAGCAGCTTAATAAAGACCATTTCCTCTCAAAAACAGAGCCAATTAACAGGCCAATTGATTAATGACTTCTCAAATACTTTAGATTAGTAGGCATCTAAAGACTTTCCTGTTGAATATATGAATTTGTCTTTTACAAAGTTAAGTTACTGGTTTTTAGATGGTGTCATTTAGATATATATGATTTCATTTCCATCTGGTACACATCATGTTTTTTTTTTAAAAATCAAGTTTTTAAAAGTCAGACATGTAGAATAAGAATCAGATATATTGTCTTGAGTCTGATCTGATTTCATGTTGCTGCCCTATGTAACTGCAGAAGTCAGTGCAGATTGAAAGCATTCTACCTTTCACTCTGGGAAGTTGTGCGCAAACAAAAGATTTTATATAGAAAAATCAACATATTTAAGAAATGAATACAATTTGAAATATGGCACTATAAAATTGCACAAATACAGGAGCAAAAGCCCCCATGAGATTTTCAAGCTGTTGTTATGAAAATTGCATCATTTCAACCTGTTTTCAATCCAATAAAGTTCTAAACATCATTTTTGGTTCAGCATTAAACTGAGTATCCCTCAGGAAACTCTCTCAAATGCAATTGGTTTTATTACTGTTTATTGTATAATTTAAAATGTGCTATCACCTCTTTCTGAAATAACATCATTTAACTGTTCTTTGACTGCATTGCAATTTCTGAAGTGTATTCTAATTTTTTTTTAAATTCCTTAGTGTTCAAATGAATGTTATGGACAGAAGTCTGGAATATATTTTATTTATTTATGTAGCTATGAGTTTTTACAAACAAAAAATAGTAATGGTTCTGTGGCTAGGGAGATGGGAAGAGTATTTTTGCTGCATTTTTTTAAAAAATAGGGATGAGTGATCTCTTTGGTTTTGAGGACAGGAAGCATAGCCCATTATTTATAGGTAACATCCATACAGGATTGAGGAACAGCAAAACTTTCTTAACAGTTTATATCAATTAACCAGGAAAATGGGGGAAAACAATAATGTCTATAGTCGTTAAATGGGATAGAAGCAGGAAAATACATGTTTCAGCAGCATTCATGACTTCATTTCTAGGGAAATCTAATTCAATTTCATAAAATGGTTTCCTTTAAATATGAAGAAGCTTATTCCATTTCATTGGTGCATATTACACGTAAATATTTTAGAAACTGCAAGATAAACAATTATGTATTTTGGAAATACATTTTTGTACTATAGAATATATGCCTATTTTCCTCTATCACCTGTCTTATTTGTGTGATTGTGAGATAAAATAATTTAACCGCTTGCTAACTCTTTTTTCTTGACTGGAGAGAGAGATAGTGAGTAAGTCAATGTATTTTCAGCCTATGCATGTATTCTGTTTTTACTGACTTCAAAATGTTTATTATGCTTTAGACAAATTCCTCAGGGAGATTATGTTAAAAAGCCTGGTGAGGCCGACTCCTTTTATAGCGACATGCCACCTGGAGTCAGCACAAACTCTGCATCTAGTTCTAAGAAGAGGTCTGCTTTTCTGTCGCATTTTCAGATTTCTACCTGTTCCATCACACATTATTCCATTAGTCAGAACCTTTCATTGTTTTGCAGCAGGTTTGATTCCTTCTTTCCTTCCTTCCTTTTGTGGGCTTGTTAAAAAGTGGCATTCCTCCATCTCTGATTGCTGACTATTGCATCACAAATTTTGGTGAAACTAGCTAAACTTCAAGGAAATGTTCTGCTGTAAGATTATTTCTGATCCTACTTAAAAACAAAATAAAACAAAACAAAAGTCACAGGAATACTCAGCCTAACTAGTTTTTTTCAAGCTCTAAAATTATGTCTTTCATGCTGAACTTGTCCTCCATTGATAACATAGACACATCTAATACTAATTAGAAATGTCTAATACTAATGCCATCTTCATTTTCTGCTTGGAAGTAGCTTATTTCCAGTTGCTGACATGTGTTCAGTAGTAATTATCCAGTTATCATTCTTGTATTCAAACAATACTTGAAAAGGTAGGATGGAGCTTGGCATGGAATACTTGCATCCTTCATTATAGATCCTAAATTAGTTAGCAAGCTTTCTAGGAAAATTTCCAATTTTATGACACTGTGAAAACAGTAAAGCCAACAAAACACCAAAATTGGCTTTATTTTATAGCTTGTTCAAGTAACCAAAGATGGAGGATTTTTTACTCATACTTTTAACAATTGTAATAGATGAACAAAATGTAAGAATATACATGTTGTATGTTATCACCACTTTGCTGTGTTTTGTTCTTACCTTATCTTGCATTTCCAGTTTACATTTCACATCTTTACCAATCATGTATGTTTAGAGCAAATCATTTGGTTGGCTTATAAGATATATGCACAATAATGTTGCATGAAGTAGAATGCTACTTATAACCAGCTGCCCTGTAAAAAGATTATTCTGTTACAGATCAGGCCACAAAGACATTCATAGATCTTTGATTCTGCTAGATTAAATTTTATATCCAGTCAATTATCTCCTCTTGCAATATTTAAACAGTGCATGAGCAAAAAATGCCTTGCTTCTTCTGTGAAAGGGAGACTAAAGGCAGCAACTTCAAATTTTATTCTAGATCCAGAGTGTTTAACTAGAAGCATTGGACTGGAAATTGCTCCATTTACTGAAAAAGATATATTCATTATTTTCAAGTAATAAATTTATCTCTATTTAATAATCATAAGCAGATAAAGTCACTTCGATATGGCACTTTGTCATTTTTAGCAGCAAGAATGATCAAAGTGTTTTTAATGCTTTATAAGTGACCACCATTAAAGTAGCATAATAATAAACAGACATTAATTACAATACACGAATATAACTTTATTAAAAGTTACCTGGAGATAGGAAGAAAGTTGTAATAAAGAATGCATTATAGTGCTAAAGTAGTCATCTAATTAAGATGTTTCCCTTTTTTAAATTTCAGTAAGATCTTTCTGATGGATGCCTATTTGAAAAATAATTCTAAATCAGTCTGAATTGTTTGACAAAATTAACTGATATTGAATATTTTCTGAGAACCATATTTGAAAAATGTGGATTGTTCAATTCCCGAATGTCTCCAGAAAATAAATTTAAGAAATTTTTGGAATATCTGTTTCCTAAGATTTTTTTAACAACTTTTGCAGGGTGCCAACTTCCTGTGAAGTTGTTGACTGACTTTTAAAATGGGCATTGCTTAAATATTACACATTTATTATGTGTCTTCTACTACTTATTTTCAGTAATTCCTTCTTCAATTGTTAGCTCTTAAGAACATTATACTTTTTAAAGTCTGCATCTTCTGAAACATACAATAACTGAGTTTTTACTTAGTTAAAAACAAGAGTTTATAACAAGGGTTAGTTTCAGCCTTCTCTAGTTATTCCTAACTTTCCACCTGCTGATTATGCTAGGTAGAAATTCTAGGAATGGTAGTTGAGAAACATCTGGGAACCATGAGGCTAAAGAAGACTGGCTTGATTATTGTTTCTGGTAGCAACACTTGGTATGCAGTCCAAGTGTTATCTTACATTTTGGTGTATGGGCAACCAGTGTTTATAGAATAGCAAAACTCATATGTAATCCTCAAAACTCATATGTAAGAATCCATTTCAACTTTCTGATAAGAATTCTCTGACCATTGCCTATAGGTTTCTGTGTCACACAAAATGAAGAAGCAGAGTGTCTAAGAAAGAACAGATGTCCCCAATTTACAATTTGCTCTCTGAGTCTTCTTACTGCTTGCTTTGGCCCTCAACATATTATTCTGTGAAAATACTATTCAGAAGGTTTCCTATTCCAATTTTATATTCTGCAGAGTAAAACAAAGCTTAGAATAGCTTTCAATGCCCTGGTGCCTCCTAGATGTGTTGGGTGAAGGACATGTGAAATCTAACTGAAATAATCTACATTGCTAATTAATTTTTGTAGACAGTTGAGGATGTTCAGGAAGAGCTTTAAGTTTCCTCAGCCCAATATGTAAGTTAACAATGGGATTATTAAAATACCAACATGTCAAAACCAACCATTGTATATGAATCTTGCTTTTTATCCTAGGTCAAACGGCTTATCTCATTCATGGAGTGAAAGAATCCAAGATGCAAAGAATCTTTCAGACATCTGTCAAAATGGGAGACAAAGGAGTAATTCATGGCAAGGTGGGAAACACTCATGCTTAGCATGACAGATTTCATTGAGTCATGATTATCTAAAGAAGTTGGATTGTCTCTTAGATGATATTAAAGCATAATAGATGTTTAAAGATTTGATATCAGCTCTGCCTCCCTTTTTTCTCTAGCCTAGGATATGGCTAGATAAAACATAGTTTGATTTAAATGGGTATGCCCTGAACCTAAACACATTGTGTATGTATCTTTAGGACTGCTGAATGCCTGAATTCCAAAATTATAATTTACTATTATCTTTTTTACTATTATGTTTTGATCTCTTTCAGGTAATATAGGAGGCAACAGAAAGAAAGTCAAAGGCAAAAGATTTAGGCCACGGTCTAATTCAACTGAGTAAGTTTGGCCTTTTAGTTGACAAAGGAAAACAGAAAAGCTCTCAAGCTACATTTTGTTTCAGTTCCTTTTAAATATTTGATATAGACCCTTAGATGTGACATGTTTTGAATAAAAATACCTGCTGGTAAATAGGGTGGTAAATGATCTGTTATCCCTTTATGGGCTTCATTACTATACTATTGTCCAAATATCACTGTTCTTTTTCCACTTAAAGCATTTTGTGTCTTAACATAGGAAATCAGAATTTAAGTTAAGGCAGAAGGCATTCCCTCCTTCCGTTTTCCTTTTGAAATACTTTGGTATTTGTCCCCTTATTTCCCTTATTTCTTGTCATCTCATCTTTGAGGGAAATAAACTTCTTTTAGAAATAGAAAATCTGAGTGGAGAAAAATTACTTATTAGTTCCTGGAGACCTCTGTGCAGATAGTGGATTATAGGAATCCAATTTGTTATTTCAGGGTATTTTTTACTGCACCAAAGAGGGCAACAAGGAGCAACTGATGGGCAATCAATTGACATTTGCCATATTGATTACCCATTTAATCTTGTTCTACAGTGTTGAATCCCTAGACACATTCATCTAGGTTGCTGCATCATTCTGAATAGTGACCAACAATATTTTAGTATTCTGCGATCAAAGTTGGTTCTTGATTGTCTTTAATGCAAATGACTATTCAGTACTGTCTTGTAGTAGGAGAAAAGTTAGTCAGGAATCGTAGTTCAAAATTTCTCCATAATTTTTCCAAATAATTATTTGATAACATTATAGTATCTTTTCTCGTAAAGAAATAAAATATATTGGGGCAGGATAATCTATTAAGATCACATTTGGAAACGTTTTGTGTTGCAAATTTCTTTTGTGATGCTTTTTGATTGAAAGATAAAATTGAAAGATAAAAAGGACAAGTATAGAAAGTGGAAAGAGGGGCACATAACTAAGTCAGAATATTAGCAAATAGCCCGAGCCTGCAAAGACGAAGTGAGGAAAGCTAAGGCTCAAAATGAACTAAGGCTTGCAACCAAAGTCAAAAATAACAAAAAAGGCTTCTTTCAACATGTAAAAAACAAGAAAAAAGTGAAGGAAACGATTCATCTATTAGTGGGTGAAAGTGGCAAGAGGGTGACAAGCAACAGGGAGAAAGCAGAAATATTTAACTCATTTTTCGCATCTGTCTTTACACAAAGGGAAAAAATAGACCAACCTATCAAAAATAGTGCCATAAAAAACAAAATAGAAATACAAGTTAAGATAGGCAAGAAAATGGTAAGTGAACATCTGTCCAGCCTAGATGAGTTCAAATCACCAGGACCAGATGGATTACATACCAAGGTTCTTAAGGAGCTGGCAGATGTGATCTCAGAACCACTGAACTATATTTTTCAAAGACCCTGGAGCACAGGGAAACTACCAGAGGACTGGAAAAGAGCTGGTGTAGTTCCCATCTTCAAAAAAGTAAAAAAAAAAAGGACCCAGGAATTACAAACCTATCAGCCTGACCTCAATACCTGGGAAGATTCTGGAAAAGATAATCAAACAACGAATCAGCGAACGCCTACAGGCAAATAAATTCATTACTAAAATCCAACACAGGTTTGTCAAAAACAGATCATGCCAGACAAATCTTATTGCATTCTTTGACCAAGTGACAAAATTAGTGGATCAGAGGAATGCTGTGGATATAATTTACTTGGACTTCAGTAAGACATTTGACACTTGTAGACCACAACCTACTACTTGAGAAGATAGAAAAATGCGGGTTAGACAGCATCACCACCAGATGGATCCATAGCTGGCTGACCGGCCGTACTCAGCGTGTGGTCTTCAATGGAACCACATCTACATGGAGGCAAGTGTGTAGTGGGGTGCCCCAGGGCTCTGTTCTGGACCCAGTGCTCTTCAACATCTTCATCAATGATCTGGACGAGGGGATAGATGGGGAACTCATCAAATTTGCAGACGACACCAAGCTGGCAGGAATAGCTAACACTCCAGAAGACAGGCTTAGGATACAGGAGGATCTGGACAGACTTGAACACTAGGCACTATGTAACAAAACTAATCAAAGAGAGAAGCAACCTAGAACTAAGGAGAAACTTCCTGACAGTTAGAACAATTAACCATTGGAACAACCTGCCTCCAGAAGCGGTGAATGCTCCAACACTGGAAGTTTTTAAGAAGAAACTGGACAGCCATTTGTCCAAAATGGTATAGGGTTTCCTGCCTGAGCAGGGGGTTGGACTAGATGACCTCCAAGGTCCCTTCCAACTTTATCATTATTATTATTATAACAAAATGAAATTCAATGGTGAAAAAAGTAAGGTTCTACATTTAGGCAAGAAAAACCAAATGTACAGGTATAGTATAGGGAGTACCTTGCTCAATAGTAGTAACTGTGAGAGGGATCTCGGAGTCCTAGTGGACAATCATTTAAATATGAGCCAGCAGTGTGCTGCAGCTGCCAAACAGGCCAACACAGTGCTAGGCTGCATTAACAGAGGGATAGAATCAAGATCACGTGAAGTATTAATACCATTTTACAATGCCTTGGTAAGGCCACACTTGGAATACTGCATCCAGTTTTGGTCACCACGATATAAAAAAGATGTTGAGATTCTAGAAAGAGAAGAGCAACAAAGATGATTAGGGGACTGGAGGCTAAAACATGTAAGGAACAGTTGCTGGAATTGGGTATGTCTAGTTTAACGAAGAGAAGGACGAGGGGGGACATGATAGCAGTGTTCCAATATCTCAGGGGCTGCCACCAGAAGCGATGAATGCTCCAACACTGGAAGTTTTTAAGAAGAAACTGGACAGCCATTTGTCCCAAATGGTATAGGGTTTCCTGCCTGAGCAGGGGGTTGGACTAGATGACCTCCAAGGTCCCTTCCAACTTTATTATTACTATTACTATTATTACTATTATTATTATTGTTGTTGTTGTTGTTGAAGGGTTTTAAGAAATCTGCAAGCTGCTTAAACTTTGTTTCTGGAACCCTTTCTTCCTGTCTATCGTTTTCCCCCATTAGTTACACAGTTTAATACATTATTTAGAATAATATAAGACAACAATTTCAATGAATGTTATTGATTGTGCAGAGAAGCTTTTATTGCAAAGTAACCCAGATAATTCATCTCACAGACAATAATAGGAGACATAATGGTTCACTCTATAAGATTTTTTGAAGTTCCTTGCTTTGAGTTCCAATTATCAGAACTGGACTGCAAAAATGTAGACAACTAACTGGAAACAGCAAGGAGATATTGAATATTCATTATACTTTTTTGCTGTCTAGATTTTTGGAATCCAGATCTGGTATCTGTACTTTGATCTAAAAACCAGTACCAAACTAGGCAATTCATACGTTGTGTGTAAGGATACAATTGCACTACTTTAAATAATTTAATCTAGGTATAAATGACATATTTGCCCCAAATAATCCAACATCAAGGCTGTAGTTACTGGATTGGAAGGTACAACAAGTCATCCATACTTCTGAGAAATAAATTTCATAATTTCTGGCCATTCTTTGCAAATGGATATGAATTGTTCCCCAATCCTCCTGGTTATTTTGGGTGGTTTTATTTTAAGACAATGATTCTTGGTTAAAGCAGTGGATGACTTTGGATGTTATAATAAATCAAAAATTAGGCAGAACTTTTCCCTGCTTTAAACATTTTCTTCTAGACATAAGAGTTTGGTAGTTTTCATTTCTAGTTTCAACAAGCTATAGTATGTAGTTGCCATATTCAGAACAAACTGTTGTTTAAGAGTAATCACATTTTTCTTCAGCTTAGGATACACAGTTGGTAATTGGACATGGAAGAAAATACTCCAAATTCCTCTTCAGAATTATAGCAGTGGAGGAAATGGGCAGCATGAAAGTAGGGGAAGAAGCTCACCCTCAACACAGTAAAAATACTTTACAATATGATTGACTGCAGTTAGTGAAAATACCATCAGATGTCTCTAGCTTTTATGAAGTGGCTGTAGGAACAGAAAAATATTGCCTTGAAGACTGCAAAGGCCAGAGTTATAAAGTAACAATTTTTCTTGCATTAATACATCATTTCTTGGTGTATTAGTGAAATGGAAGATCATTTCTGGCAGTGAAAAACAATTTCTGCAAGTGATTTTCCTTTGTTGGTTAAATGTTGACCCTAGTAAAATGTATTTCATTCCAATGCCTGCAAAAATAAATGGATGGTTATATAGATTGTTCACCTATGAAAACTAGACTGTTTATAACTGCATAAGAGCATGTGTTAAAGCATGTCCCAAGTTTTCATACTGGCTGTCTGTTAATTTAAACTAACTTTACCATTAGATGTGCATCTTCCTCATTGTTATAAACTATATAGACTTTGGCTTAGATTTTCTTCTATTATATATTGTGTTTTTGCAGCAGGGTATCCCATGCTTCTGAGCCTGGGCTTTCCCACACCAATCAAATCCCACCCCAAGGCATAAGCCAGGGGATTTCTCACCACTCCCAAACAGGGAATCGGAATCACAGGTCAGTTTCAACTGCCTTTCTAGTTTGGCAGCCACTTTTACCCAAAGTTCCTTTTCCAAAGTTTTACTGTGATGAAGAATTTTGATTGCTTGGAAAGTCTTCTGCTGATGGCAGTGCTAGCTAAGCCCTGTTCCTTGCTGGCCTGATGTATAATTTCTCCCCTCCTACACTACTGTAAAATCTAGGGTCCTTTGCATTATTGCATGTTGTGCTCAAACCAATTAAAGCCACTGATTTAGTTTAAGGCATTTCACGCAACAGTTTTACCATCTGATCGGACAGGTTATTCTAGATCAGCATTTCTCAATCTCAGCCAATTTAAGATGGGTGGAGAATTCCTCAGCTGGCAGACTGCCTGGGAAATTCTGCCAGCTGAAATCCACACATCTTAAGGTTGCTAAGGTTGAGGAACACTGCTCTGTATCAATGAAGAGTGATGCACAGTTACCCCAGAGATAACTTTTTAACCTGTTTTAATTCTG